GATACCTGTCTCCTACTGGATGAGAAATCATTGATGAGCATTTTCTCAGTATAATTTCCAGCCAGTTGTATAGACACTTGGTTTCATTAGAGGTTTCATTTCCAGGCTAGGCATCTTTGGTGCACTGGTGATGAAATGTCTGCAGGAAAGCAACCAAGCGCAGACAACACCAAGAACCCAAGTCTTAATTTTATAAAGATGTTTTTATGCAGAATTCTTTATTCTGGAATTTTTCTACATGCTGCATAAGCTGAACTCTTCCTGAGCAAACCTGCCATCTTTATGGCCTACTTTGAGGGGCTTTTATGGACTTGACCTTTCAGACAGGTCCACTGATACCATCCCCCAAACACATGGCATAAGGTGATACATATGCGTATGAATGTTACCATGAACACTGGTAATAATATGGGGACAAATCCTGCCAAAAGGCATGGCATAATTAAGCAGGGTAGGATAGCAAACTGAGCCCAAGAGAAAAGTACTCCTGTTTCATACAGGTGTAAAATACAGAACGTGAAAGTTTTGCAAATATCTTCTCAACAAAAATAATAGCATTGCTGTAAAATAAACGGAGGAACAAGGGTATTTAATAAAACAAGGTTACCAAAAGTGCATCTTAATAAACTTAGTACAATGCTAAATGGGATTCCATGGTATGAGTAGTTTATGGGAAAAGAAGGTGGGAATCCCTAAACAAGAAATTACTAAAAGCAAATTGCAGAGAACTCCAGTGAGTTGGGGGGGGGGATGGAAGAGAGCCGAGGAAGCTGATGAGAGTACATTAAAAGCGATCTGAAGAGAGAGGAAGAAAAGACATCAAGGGTGTTAAGAAAGAAATGTCACCAGGCGAAGTGCAGGTGCACGCAGCGTCTCTGTCTCCAGGACGCCTTAGTAAAGCCATGGTCTTGAGCTAGAGACGCTCGGGATCAACAAAGTGGGCTCTTTAAAATATGTTTAAAACAATATGTCAGCCGCTAATGAAGAAAAGGCAGAACTACTTTATAACTGCTAATTGAGAGGAGGTGAAGAGATGGTGAAATTGTTTGTACTTGTGATGGGAGTGGGAAGTCACTTTCTAGAGTTTTTTTCCCTTTTTTCTTTCTTTTTCTCTTCTCTGTTTGCTTGCACCTTTTATTCTCTCTTACTATTTTTTCCTTTTTTAGTCTGTATTATCTTTTGCTACTGTAATTAAAACTTTTAATAACATTATTTAGAAAAAAAGGAAAAGAAAAGGCGAGCTACCAACTCATATTTCTGTCTCACAAAACCACCACCACTACCACAACAAAGTGTTCCACCCAACAATTGTGAAAAGCAGAATAAAAGGGCAGAATAACTGGTGTACATGTATGATAATCTCTCAGGTCTGGAGATACTAAAGGACAGTAGATTATGGGAAAGTTACAGATGTAATATATCTTGATTTTAGCACAGAATTTGACAACATATCCTCTGATTAGCAAGTAGGTACATGGGAATTGCATAGCACAGCCATTTACAAACTTTTGATACAAATCAAAAATCATACGCAAATTGTGATAATTAATGAACAGTACATCAAACTGGAGTGAGGTATTGAATATGGTGCCACAAATTAACCCCCACACCCAATGCTTTTAAATATTTTAAAATCAATGACTTGAATGAGAAGACAGAGGGGCTGTTTATCACATTTGCAGATGACATAGAATTGAGTGGGGTAACCAATATCCCAAAAGACAGAAATAAGATTTAAAGCAATTTTGATTGTGAAATGAAAATACCAGAGATATTTCATTCTAGCTTCTTCATTTCAGAAATTAACAGAAATAAGTACAAACAAAAACATGGCTATTGTGTTGCAGATTACAGTTGCAGAGTCTGGTCTGCTCGTCTCTGCTTTTCAGGGTTTTATCTTCTCCAAGACATTTCTCAAGCTCTCAAATCAATCAGGTTCACATTGTTGACTTAGAGAAAAAGGGTTAGGGATCTATATTTAGAAACTCCTATTGGCTCACCTCGTTCACTTATTCCCTTGGTGATGCCTGCTTGCTTATGCTATGGATGCCTTTGCAAAACAAATTTCAAGAAATGTGAAGTTTGTAAACCATCAACCCTCAATGGTGTAGGGTTATTTATTTTAGTAAATGAGCAGGGATATTAAAATGCATAGGGACTACAGAACCTGAACATCCTCAACTTCAATGTCTAGCTGCTTGGAGAAGAATCAACACTGACAAAAGGTCTTAAATCTTTAACATAACTGTAAATGGGAAAACCATTGACAACTATATCCTTCTGCCATTAGTTGCTCTCTTGATTTAATTTTATATTCCCCTTGGTGATTCTCCAATAATTCCCATTACGTCAACCATTTGTCTTTGCCTGTTGTTTCTCTTCTATAAAATGTTTCTTGTGCTAAGATCCATAGAGATGTTTTCGGGCACAGCCTGGGTTTATATCTATTCCATATCCTCAATATGGCACATCTAATAAAATGGTTTTTAAAATCCACATTAACTTTAACTTCATCATACCATAAATATCCAGGCCATATAAACCCCAGGTTGTGCTCTTCTAATTCTAGAAGTTTTTTGTTTCTCAGCAACCCCCACTCTTTCATCCAAACCAAACAACAAGCTGCAAAATACAATTCAAATCCAGTAAACCCAATCCTCCTCTTTCCTTTGCATCTTGTAAGAGTTTGTATTTAACTCATGTTTTTTCCCCTTGCCATACAAATTTAGATATATCTTTTTGCCACTGCTTGAATGGTACATCAGTTGTCAAAACAAAAACATCATTCTAGGCAAAACATTCATTTTTATCATAGAGATTCTCCCCAACAGTGACAATTTTAATTTCTCCCAACTCAACACGTCTTTCTTAATTTCATTCCATGTCTTAACATAATTATTTTGAAATAACATACAATTCATATTTATCATAGTAATGTCCAAGTATTTTACTTTTTCTCAATCTTAAAACCAGTTTCCTCCATCAGTTCTATCTGATCTTCTAATTTCATTTTTTGTTAACTTTGCCTTCTGATTATTAATCTTAAAACCTGCTAACACACTAAAGTCCTTTAATTTTCCCATTCATGTTTCTACTCCCTCTAATGCATCCTCCAAAACTACCACCAGGTCATCAGCCAATGCCCCTAAGTTTCTTTTTTAATTTTTATTTCCTTGATTCTTTCAACCTGTCTTATGTCTCTATCCAGTACCTCAAGAACTAAAAGGAACAAGAGTGGAGAAAGTGGGCATCCTTGTCTCGTCCCTTTTTGAATCTCACAGGGTTTTGTTAATTCTCCCTGCCCCACCTCCAGTGTTTCCCAGGAGCCACTACAGTAACTCACTTAGGAAACATGTTGGCCAAAGGAGAACTATGCCCCCTTGGGAAAAAGTCCCACCCTTGGCAATGACTGGCTAGAATCCCAGACAACCAAATTAATTCATCAGGTATTATCAGATGGCACCTTAGACAGGAAAAATAGGCAAAAGAAAAATGTTGAAAGAATATTGAGTAAACCCACTGTCAATCTCATGCTATAAAAAATAGATAATATAAGTTATATAAGTTATGTGTTAAATTAATAGGAAAAATATGTGGCCATATGTCAAATATACAATTTCATGTATGGGCCACAATATAAGTACAACATAATAATATATCATATTATTACTCTTGTTAAATAATAAAGTAGTAGTAGACAACCAATTATGACCAGATGGTTAATATGTTTGAATTACACAAATTTCTCCAGCTTTCTGATTTTTAATGAAAAAAGGCAAAACAAAAAATACCAGATTTCAATGAGAATAATTATAATTAATAATTATAATAGATATTAAGCTATTTTCATAATCTTCATTTCTCTTGAGCTACTAACAATAAAATCAGAGGTACCGCCCTCTCCTGACTTGTCCAATGGAACTAAAGAAAGAATATTGTAAGATCCTTGAATTAGTGAAACTTAACACTTCTAAGCAATTTCTATTTTTCTAAGCTAATACAACCATTTTTGATATTTGATTGCTTGAAAGGAGATTCAAATTTTTAGTTTCAAACTAAAGCATATTTCCTTCCAAACCACAGAAAACTTTTGCATGGGAATACAGCCCAGGATCAGATGTGCAGTTTCTCAACTTATTTCCATATTTCATTTGAGGTTTTCCCAAATTTTATATCTAGACACTAAAAAAGGCAGGGAAACATGATGAGAGTCAGCCCCACCTCAAGACCATCATCACAAAGAACTTGCAGTTCTAATTATGAGGATTAGATCAGCTTGACTGGTATAAAT